AAAGGGTCCTCATGAGGAGAAAAGTCTACAAGCACCCTGATCTTGGCCTGAAGAGCTAGAAATATGTAAGGCACACAGAGTGTAGTATTTTCTCATAAACCTCAGACCTAACACAGTATTCCAAAAGAAATTTGTGTTTCCTTTAAATCGGAGCCACATGTTCATACATCCAGTGACTCTTCATGTGGATTCCTCTATCAATTCTAGTTAATTTCATATTGGAAGTCTGAATTTTCAGGTGGTGGAAAAAGTGCAGATTTTTTTCTTAAGCATTTAGCATTTGGCTTACAACATTTATTTTTAAATATTCATTTATAGTTTCATGCTTAAGATGATCTTTTTTTTTTTTTTTTTTTTTTTTTTCGAGACAGGGTTTCTCTGTGTAGCTTTGCGCCTTTCCTGGAACTCACTTGGTAGACCAGGCTGGCCTCGAACTCACAGAGATCCTCCTGGCTCTGCCTCCCGAGTGCTGGGATTAAAGGCGTGCGCCACCACCGCCCGGCAAGATGATCTTTTTATGTTCATCAGATAGGTACCTTGAAGTTCATACTTGTGTGCAGAATATGCCAACTGTTGAGGCCTGGAGTTTTGTATATTTTCAGCAAACCTCCAACTCTGGTGGCATCTACATCACTGAGCTCGAACCCTAGGGATAGAAAGGAAAATGGCATTCCTTTTTACACAAGCCCATGTGAATAATTAAGCAGATATGGTAAGCAGTGTATGACAAAACTCTCAAGACTTTAATTTTAATCCTTCACGGGATATTTCGTAGAACATACAGCAAGCACCAACTTTTGAGTGCAGTGAGTTAGGACAGGCCTTGAAGGGATAAGAAAGCTGGAGTAGATATGACTCATTCGAAGAGAGAATTTGTATGGATGGACTAGAGGTGTCTGCTCCACTGGTCATGGAGTGTCTTTTTATTAGCAATTTTAAAAGTTTGAGAATAGAGATGAAAACATCTATATTTATGAACACTCACTAAAGGATTCATTTCATTGATTCAAAGGAAGCAGTGGTATCCCTGTCTGTTACCTTTTTTACATTTCTTACCACGTGAATGTGCCACAGAACATCAGTTTGTCTCCAGATGCTATAAGTTTAGTTTTGTGAGTATTATTATACTACTAGTCATTATTTAGTCACCAAATACCTGGGTTGGGCAGTACCTGTACCACACATAGCTCGCCAGCTCCTATATACATCATTAGTGTGGCTTCTGCTGACATTTAAGTTTTTGCAGGCAAAGTGAAGAGGGATAAATGGTTCTTATTCTCTCAAGACTTTCCTCTCCTACTGGTTCTGGGTGACTTAGATAACCCTATTGGATGAGAAGGAGATTAGCTTTTTGCTTAATGAATTACTTTGTTATAATAGGGGTTCATTTCCCTGAGCTAATTGGAATGAATAAGAGAAGGAACACAGGTCACAGGAAAATACTAGGAAGGCTTTGTTAAAAACTGTGACAAAATTTCAGAGAATGCTTGGTGCCTCCTGAATTTTAGGCAACTGGATTGTTCTATGTCAGTTATGAATTCTATCATATGTGTGACTATTACACATAAAGGTATTCCTCCTATCTGACTGGTTTATAGTATGAGACACATTTCCAGAACTCTCCTCCCCCTCTGAGTTTACAGAAGTGGTCTATTTAACCCATAAAGCACCAAATTGTTGTTGTACAATAACAAGAGCTGACTTTACTCTGCCTTAAGTACTTTTAGAGAGCTTTCCTCTATGAGACATCCAATATCTGGTTTCCTAGGTATACCAGAGACACTTAGCCACTCTGTGAAGATAGAAAAAAAATCATCACATAACTAAACATTGAGATTTTTGGTTATTTATACATTTTTATCCTTATGAAGATTTTCAATTTTAATCATACTTGATGTGCATTTTTCTGACATGAAGCTGATTTGCTTCTAAGATTGTTTGAAAACTAACAATAGGTCGTTTCTGTTTTATTCATTGACATTTGAAAAGATAGTTCAAGACACCAAACCCCAAAGATGTCACAAACTCCTAGACACTAATATATCTCCAGATACAAAGTTGTCCGATTAGAATGAAGGCATTGTGGCATTGAGCACGTGCGCATGGTGACATAATTCCTGGGTCTTATTCTGTATTATGAAAGGACAAGAAAAAAAGGAAGTAAATAAGCGCTGGGGAAAAAAAGGAAAGAAAAGAAAGGGAAGAAGAAAGGAAAGGAAGTGTGAGGAAAAGAGTCAGAAAGTAGAAAAGAAGGAAAGATGAAGGAAAGGAAGGAGGGAATGGGACAGGAAAGAGAAAAGAGAGCGGCAATGGGAAGCTAATATCGTACCATTTCCCCAAATTGGAAATGTGCACTTTTAAAGACTAACTACGTGATACACATTTTATTTCTCTTCTTTTGAGTTTAAAACTAACCTTTCCTTTTGGAAATTTTGTAGTAAAACTTGTCAGGTCCTTTTCATGCTTGTCAACCATATGTGTGTGTGTGTGTGTGTGTGTGTGTGTGTGTGTGTGTGTGTGTGTGTGTGTGTGTGTGCGTGTGTGTGTATGTGTGTGTGTCACTGGTCACTGTCTGGGAATTATTCTCTGGCATGGAGTCCAGGTGACAACCCCACTGTGACAGACAATGAGAATGAGAGCCAGTGACTTGGTTTCTACTCCTGATTAGCTGGTGATTCTGGTGGCATGTCATTTCATTTACCTGATTACTGTTTCCCCACACATGTAGAGGGATTTCACCCATGTTTATTCATATTCTCTGTAGTTCAAAGTATCGCCATCTAAACCTGCTTAAATTATCGATCATGATAAAAGTATTTCTACTTCCCAAAATGTCTGTAGTATGATTTCCTTATTTAAAAAAAAAAAAAAAGAACAATTTTTCAACTTTGGCTCCATGGTGAAAGACAACTTTTATGAGAGCACTTTACTATCAAAAATAATGACACATTAGTAAACCTCTCAGTCGCAGCATGGGAGCTGTTGCCAGATTATAAGTGGTACTTGAGTCTGTTTACTGAGACATGCTGAGGTTTTAACACGAGAAATGGGGGGCTGGCTGGGAAAGGGAGGGAAAAATTATTTGAGAAAGACACATCTGATATTATCTCCTCCCTTCCCCACCTATACTCCTCTCCTTTCTTTGCATATATATCTAATCTTCCAGGGCATCTTATTACATTAAATGGAAATCCTGGTCCATTCATAAGCTGGATACACAAAGACATGGAAATCCACAGTGAGCTTTAAAATGTATGTTAGAGAATGTTGCGCTACATAGAGTAATATATATTAGGAATATATCCAGCAATATAATGTGTTGAATTTATTTCTCCCCAGATACTTTTAAGTTAAACTCTAAAAACAAAACATATGAAACCATAGCACCGTCCTATTTCTCATTTAAGAATTAGGAAGGTGACCTCAAGATTACTGCAATACGGTTTATCAGTACATAAGGATATTTTCATATGGAATTACTTCTAAATCAAGATGTTTAACTCAAAGGAGAGCAGCCTGCAAGCAGAAGCCATTGACGATGAAAGTTGCTGGGGGAAAGTGACATGGAAAAAAGTGTCGAGACCACTGTGCAGTAATACAGACACATTTTCTCACGAAAAACTCTTTCAGCCCAGTTCCTTATTGTTAGTCTTACCCTCCCTTCCCTCTCATCTCCCTCCTCTACTTTCTGCCTTCTTGTCTTGTCATTACACAGAATAAGAGCCAGGAATCAGTATATTGTACCATATACAAACAACGTATTTTTTTTTAAAAAAAAATCTATTTTCATCATTTACTCTGAGGAAAAACAAGCTTGAAAATTTGGATTTGTCATATATAATCATATATATATATGTATATTCACACAAGTATATAAATATATTGTGTATGTGTGGACACAAGTATATACACATCTGTCCCTCATAGTATATAAAATAAAATTATACACACAGAATCGGTGGAATATTAGAAAAAGAATCTGGAATCTCTTTGGGAAAGGCAAGAAATAGAATGGCTTAAAGCATGTCTGCAGTGAATCTGAAGGAGTTAGGGGTGCATATGCCACAATCCCTATACCTTTTACTTTGGTTAAGACACTGAGGTCCCAGGGAGACCTTTGTTCTGTGGACGTGCACTGTGCACTTCCTTTCCAAGTGGGCTAGTTTTGTTCTCATGCCACGGTAGCAGGTGGCATCAAGCTGTTTTGATGAGGTTAAAAGGCTCCTCCCCCCTCTCCGAACGCAGCAGCCTGAAGTACGTCAGCAGTAATTGTGTGCATGGCTCTGCTGTACAGGGTGGGTGGAGGCAAAATTGATATCAAACAAGGGCATCCAACTGAGATCCGAGAGTTCCGTTTAAGTTGTTGCTCATTTTTATTAGCCCCACTGGGGTGAAAACCTTATAACTTAAATTTATCCTCCAGACAAGAACCATATTTTGATTAATTTAAATTTTCCTCTCCAAAAAGACTGATTTAATGCTAAACAGTGGATGTAAACGAAGAGGTTTCTTTATTCTCTTTTTATTTTGTTATTGACAAATCAGACTTTAGCTCAGTTAGATAAAAGAGACACGTTCTGTTGCTTGGATGGGAGGCCTTTAATGAGGATGGGAGCCCCTGGGGAGCTGAAATCGGTGCTGCTTTTGGGGTTTCTTGCCATTTCTTCAGTCATTCTGTCTCCCTTTCCAGTGGGGCTAGGGTGTGGGAACTATCCAAGGTGCTAGGATGCTGGCAGCTTTGCTATTCGATGCAGGCGGATTGCACAAGCAGAGGAGAGAGATTACTGCTTATTTCAGAAGGTAGGTTCTTTGTTTCAGCACCCCTGATTAATCAGCAGCAGCAGCAGCATCAACAGACTAAGGCAGCTGGAGAGAGGAGAGAAGCAGGAAGGGAGGGAGTCCGGGAAAGGGAGGAGAGGGAGAGGGAGAGGGAGGGAGGGAGGGAGGGAGAGAGAGAGAGAGAGAGAGAGAGAGAGAGAGAGAGAGAGAGAGAGAGAGAGAGAGAGAGAGAGAGAGAGAGAGAGACCAGAGCCAGAGCAAGCTGGTTGTCATGGGGGAGGGACGATGCTACAAGCTAGGCTTCTCCAAACCTTCTGTATGTATGCAACGAGAAAGAGCATCTTCTTTGGGGCTGAAAGGAGACATTTAGAGAGGATGTGTCTGATTTTTGTCTCCATTTATTTTTGTCTTCACAGAACATGATCAAATGAGGTACCTTAGCCAGCTTGGTGACTGCTTCGGGTCTTGTAATCATCTGTGTAGCAAAGTGGGTAAAATCATTCAATTTCTTCCCTGCTGGACCTGGAAGGAGAGGGGCTGTGCGCTCATCCCCACCCATTAGCTATGCCCTCTTTTCTCCGAATGTCGATTTAAGGAAGCAAGCAGCTGTCTTCTGCCACTGCATCTTCCTAGCAAACTTTAAAGGGCATTTTATCCGATAGAAAGAACATCGAAAATGCTCTGGTCTCTAGTGATGAAGAATCTTGGATTCAACACTTTTCCCATCCAGATATAATGCACTTTAATTGAAGAAAAGCTGAACTGACCTACAAGTCTGTTTCTTATGGTGCTGGATTACTCCTACCGAACTGCCCCGAGACCAGCCCTGAGAGAGGGCTCTGACAGACCCAAGTCACCTCCTGACTATTGCACTTAGCTTTCCCTGGGGACTTAATTTTTGGTATGTATCTCATTTTTCAGATTCTATAAGCATGCTATTTAAATCCAGAACTAAATAGAGGAAGCTATTTGTTATGAAATGGGATAGATTTTAGTTAGGGATACTTAATGCTGAAGTTTGCATGTTTTATTAGGTGGAGCAGAAATAAAAATACAACCTGGGCATCCACAGTGTTCGTGAGCCCCCAGCTATTTTTAATCCCTTACCCACTTACTGATTGCCATGGAAATGTTAAATAGATCTCCATTAGTAAAATAAGCTATGTTTAATTATTATAAGAATTGAAAGTATTTCCATGTCATTAATTGCTACTCAAGTTGCGTTTGCTGCTATTTGTCTTAATTCCATACCATAAATATTTTACAATGGGCTCAGTTCATTGGTGTCATCAATGAGAGCCCAATTTTGCATTCTCAGAAAGAAAGATATACACTCTACCACAAAATATCCAAATTGCTGGGCATACTTAGAAGCTGAAACTGCTTATTTCTGTCTGACTCCAAATAGATACTTTCCTGAAAATGTGTTTTAATACCAGTCAATATCATGAAGATTGCATTAGTCTCACCAAAATGTACATCTTCTGAAGAACTTTAGGTGGGCTTGTTGTACTTGGGACATGAACTTATTTCATTGGAATATCTCCATTCTAATTTTCCAAAACTACCCAGAAATATTTTCAGTACTTGAAATGTAGGTAGGTATTGCACATCTGGGAAAATATTGTGTTTAGAAATGTTCATCTTTCCTAAAAAATACTAAAGTTGTTTTGGTACTAAAGGAGTACTTTTTTATTTTTCTAAATGTAGTGAAAAAAAATAAGAACATTTAATGGAAGAGGTTATATGGTATATTTTTGGTAATTTTAGTATCCCCAATTTATAATCAATTAGTATAGAATAATGAATAGAGAGCAAGAACAAAAACTGATCTCTTAACTTTTACATTTTGGACACACTCCAATTTATTTGATGTATTGTTAAGTGTTAACTTAAAAATGAATGAGCAAAGAAGAGCCAGATGTGTACAAATGATTTTGTTTTACTTTGAAAAGTAGCACATGTTTTTGTCCATCTCAGAGAAGAAGGGAATTCTGTGAAAGACACTTAAGACTTAGGAAATTGTGAAAACAGACCTGTGGGAAAATTCTACAATTTTACAAAGCAGAGTTATAAAACTTGAATGGTTTGGAAAGTTGTACAGAAGTGTAAAAATCTCTGGGAAAAGAATCGTGGCTATTGTTTAAAATAAATCAATCAGTCATAGACTATCAACTCAATTAGATGGTTTCCATTGTAGCTCCAGTCAGCAATTTATTAAATTGACTATGTCTACTTTGCAAATACTGCCCTGTAAGCGTCTGGAACCGATTGGCCCAAGGCTCCACAAAGTCCCTTAGCCACTGGCACTTTGCTCGAGCCTTTAATATTAGAGAGGATGTAGCCAATCTTTTAAGACCTTTGGTAAAGGACACCATGACAACCTGGAAGTCGGGAGAGATGCCTAGTAGATGATGCTACTGCATTTGCATGATCTATGCCCACTTCCCAATTTAGGGGAGGGAGGTAGTGAAGAAAAACTCCCTGTAAAGAAATCTGTTTTCTGAGAAAGAAGCAATCAGTGCCTTTGTAGTGACTCCTGCAGGCTTTCTTGATGGTAACTTCTTTCCCCATTTTGTGCAGAACAGCTGCATTTTGAGAACACTGAGAATGAGAATATGAACATGACCATTTGTGGGGTAGGGTACAGGATTCCAAGCACAGATCAAAATCTCTGACACTAGTATTTGACAGTTAGTTAAGTTTCTTATTGCAGAAATATTTTTGACATGGTTTGCATGGCTTATGGGTTTTAACCGTGTTAGCTAGTCTTGATTTGGTCCTAATCTATGAAGTTAGCAAATTTTAGATACGAATTTGCATATGCATTTAACATATGTATATGAAGTCTGATTACTAAATACTTATATTTTCATATGCACTGTGTGGTATGTGATTTTAGATTGGTGCAAATATATGCAAATAATGTAAAATAGTCTTTATATTGCTGAACAATTCAACAACACAACAACAACCACACCAAAAAAAAACCAGTCAAAATCACATGAGGAAACATTCATTCGACCTAACCCTCTAAGATTCTCCATCTCAAGAAAGATGGAGTGAGGAGAATGAGAGGGAAAATCAAATTTTAATAACTCACATTCCAAGAACTTCATATAGCATTAAGACAAATATCCTTTGAAAACCTCAAAAATGTATAAAGAATAGAAACTAGGTATCTTGCACCATCTGCAAATAAATTGAAACATAAGTATAAAGTCACGGTCAAGTATCCAGTCTTTTATCAAGGCATTTATTCTCTCCTATGTATTAGGATGTTTCAGTGTATCACAAATTACATTATGATAATAGCATAAAATGAACTTTACCTGATTCTGATCATAAGATTATCTTTTAGTATTCACTATGGCCTAAAATTTAGAAACTCTTATGGGACTTTACATATGGGGAAACAATTTACTTTTAAATTAGAGGTTTTTTTTTTCATTCTCATTCGCTCAATATAGGTGGGAAAATAAAGATTAAATAAGTTGCCACCACTCTGTATCTTTGAAAAGCCAAATCTCATGTAGAGGACAGCTTCATTTTAGAAATTTGGGATAAATAGTTTACAAAGAAAACAAAACACCAGTGCCCAGGAGGCTAGTTCACTCAAAGGATGCTGGTACACATGAAACTTCTACCTAGGTAAGTGGAACTATCAGGTTTATCACAGGGCTCCGTCTTATTGAGTGAGTGTGCACCTCTATCAGGTCCACCCTTACAGAGGTGGGGTGGTGGACCTAGCAACGCAGGAAATTGTACTAATTGAGGAATTGGCTGGGAATTTTAGACAATGGGATGTTGAGAGATGCTCAGACATAGATGAGAAAGAGCCAGGCAGCCTAAACAGTCACTGGACTCTTTCTGTGTGACTTCTCCCCCACACCAGCCTGTGGCTGTGAGGAACTCACTCTCACCATGAGTGGGTGCTGTATTAAATACTCTGTAGACTGACACCACATAGAGTGGGTTTCTTCACTAGCAGAGGGGAAACGCTACAGAAGCACGTGCTCTTAGAGAAATGTGTATGCAGTTATTTTTCAAAAACACTCCCTTTTTTAAAATTTCTCTTTACTACTAAGTATCACAGCATGGCTTGGCATTTGAGTTTCCTTGATGAAAGTATCAGCTACAGAAAGGGAAGAAGAAAATGGTATTTTTTTTTTAATTTTATGTTTTATCGATTTCATTTGGACCTACATGGTTTTTGCTGTGGGTTTGGTGATGGAGAGTTTTATTTTTGGGTGAACATTTGTGAAGAATTAATGTCACTATCAGCTTTATATTCAGCCTCGTCAGGAACAATGATGGCTGTATAACATATGTGTGTGTGTGTGTGTGTGTGTGTGTGTGTGTGTGTGTGTGTGTGTGTGTGTAGAAAGCTCAATTCAATGTTAAATGCTTAGCTTATTTCTCTTGGCCATGGTAAGAATTTAATTAGTGCACTTTAGTTAAGTGAAACCTCAAATTTTAGAAAATGTCACAATATTACACGATGTAGTCTTTGTGAAGGGTGTGGTCAACAGGTTATAAGTAACAAAGTGTAAGAATAATGTAATGCAAAGCTGAAAAAATAATCATCCACTTTAATATTTAACTCAACATCTATAGCTTTGGTAAGACATGATTGTAGGCACAGTAATCTAAATATTAAATGAACAGAATCTCTGGAAAATGCAGAGCATAGAAGTATAGGAAGTCATACAGTAAAGACCTGAATTTCACTGTGTATTGCATGGTATTTGATCTGGTAATTTAACCTACTATCCCTGGAGGATCCCTGATATGATTTTTAAATTAGCCACGAATTCCAATAAACACATACATAGCGCTTCACTATTTGGATCAGTTCTGGGGCTTCCAAAGAAAGCATATCTACTCTTAGAATGAAGACATATTGCTGCAAGAGTATAGATGGGCAGCAAAAGTCTCTCATTTATTTTAAACAAAACACATGGTGCACAATATTATTGGTGGCCATAGGAAGGCAGAAGTTCTCTTTCAACCTTTTACATTCTATTGTTCCTACGTCTAATTAGAAGTCAAGTAAGGGAGATGGTTAGTTATTGAGAAAAATCTAACAATGCTACATAGAACACAAGAGCCCAGCTGCATTTTAACAGTATTTCCTAAGACTGAGGAATTCTGTGTCCCTTTAAACAGAATTGTAATTTAAGAGGCAGGAGCTACAGTCAAGTCTTAGATGGACTAGACATGGAACATACCTTTCTCAACATCTATCTTATCCATGAGTATGAATTCTGAAAACATATTCATGATTTACTGAATTTTCATGCTAATTGCAGTAAATAGTAGTGGTTATAACAAGGTAGACAATTAACACGGTTCAATTTTCTATTGAATCTGTTCACTATGAGAAAGCTATTTTTCATTCATCTGAAACGTATCCTTCAGCTTGGACAGTCAAAGTTGGATGGTTTAAAATGGAGTGAGCATTGTGGGCCATAGATCCTAGTGCCCTTGTTTTCCAGATTTGGACAATGAGAGGTGGCGTGCATAAGTGTCTTTATTACAAATTATTTGATTACTAGTTTTCTCATGTCAACTTCTATGATGAAGGAAGAGCATGTGTGTGTGTATGTGTGTGTGTGTGTGTGTGTGTGTGTGTGTGTGTGTGTGTGTGTGTGTGTTCAGGCATGCTTTCCACAGCATGAATGTATAGGTCAGACATCAGCTCTTACTAGTCTATTCTTTCCTACTGCCTGTAGGATCAAGGATGGAATTTAGGTCATAAAGCCACACACAAGTGCCCCTATCTCTGAGCCATAATTCAGACCCTGCCAATTTGTAACTGTGGAAATTATTATATTTAGCAACATGACTCCTTGGTAAACTAATTTTACTTTGAAACGTGGGTAGATTATTTAAGACAAACACACATAAATAAACATACATATACACATAGAAACACAAAAAATAAAATCACTAGTAAGCATTTTATAAACAAGTTTATTTTAAACACCAATAGGGGGTGGGTGACAGATGACTCATCTGATAAAGACACTTACCACCAAGTCTGACAACCTGAGTAAGATCCCCTTGACCCACATGATAGGACAGCATAGCCAGTTGTCTCAAGTGGTCCTCTGACCTTCATGTAGAAGTTGTGGAATCATGCATCATATACCTTTCAATGAAAAAAGATCCACAAATGAATGTAATAAAATTTTTTGATTTAAAAAGAGTTTGTGAAAGACTCTACTAGCAATATCAACACCAGGCTTATTGAACACATACACTTTTTTTTTTTAAATCAAATCCTCATGACATAGTCCATTCCAGCTGCCATCATTTTGTTAATGTAAAGGGAAGCTTAAAGGTATTATTTAATGCAAAGCCATAGACCTAGAAACAACGTATCTGAGATTTTTAGAGTGCATGGAAAAACTTGTACCTATGTCCTACAGGACTTTCTCAGAGTCCCCCTCACTGCCCCCCCCCCCATCACAAACTAATTTCCATGGAGACAGCAAACAAAATACTAAGAGCTTAATCATTGACAGGCTGCTAATTTTATTTTAAAGACCAAATTTCAAAGTTGAGAAGCTATACCCATTTATCCTCAAAATATGGGAAATAAAGAATTCATGGCCAGCTGACATTGTAAACAGTATGAGAATCAGATGAGATGTAATTATTATTCTAGTCTCCTGCAATGTGACATCTAGAAGATTATACTTTGGCATCCATCATCAGTGCCTTGTTTGTAGCAGGTGTCCAATAGACTCTTAAATAGATGGATGATCATATGACCAAACACTTTCCTGGAGGTGGATATGGGCACACACATAAACATGTAACCCATTTTCATAATATGGAGTTTGACTTGACAAAGTGGTTGATTTTCATCTGAAAAAAAAATCCATGTGAGTTAAAAAATAAATTTTCCACGTATAAACATTTTGCAATAATATTTTTTGCATTTTCTCAGAACAACAACTTAAACTCCATGTAATTTGTAATGCCATTAATAATGATAATTAATATTCAGAAATAATCCACTACTTTGTTGATTATACATAATTATAATATGTAAACTGTATGAGAATCACTAGGGTTGGTAGAAATCCTCAGCAAAATAAATAACTAAAATACAACCCTTTGGATACCCATGCTTCTTGCACCTGGGAAAAATGCAGTTTTGCTGGAGGGCAGAGTGGGAGGAATCATTCTAGCCTGAGGTGTTATCTCTAGCAGGTTTATAACACTGAGTTGGCTTGCTTAACTTAGGCAAGATTAATTGTCATAAAGTTAGGCTGGTCTTTTTTTAGCCTGGAGTACCTACTGCAGATGTTCCTGATGTAAGTGAATTTCCGGTAATGGCAATACTTTAGATAACTGAAAGACACTCTCCTGAATCCCTCCTATCAACATGGAATTTGTTCACAGCAGTCACTTTCTTCTCTCCTATGTGCTCACCACTTAAGCATGTAATCTTAATACAATTCAATTATGTTATATATAATTCAATATAGTATAAAGTTGGAATTAAAAGACTATTCAGTCTTTTTAACCCACTGGAGCTAAGAAATCAAACAAAACATAATAAAAATTTAATACAAAGCCAACAAACAACCTCCAGTTCCTAAAATATCAAATACTGAGAAAGAAATCTGTAAATTCAGCATGAGATTCAAATTTGGGTTAACTGTTAACTATCAGTTAAAAGGCTAATAAATTCTGATATGAATTAAGATATCTATATCTACAACCCAGGTTATAAAATATGATTTTCATTTCAGGATGATTTTGATGTATACTTAGAAAAAGAAACTTCTTGACTTTTGCAGTAAACAGATGGACTGATCAACAGTTCAATGATTTTTTTAAAGGAAGTAAAAGTTGTAAGGTACTTTATAAATTTTTATTTGTTTAGAGAAAGGGTCTCTAAACATGACAGGCATATCCCACACTCCACTCACTTATATCCATTTTCTATGCCACAGTGAATAGGAAATTAAATAAGTCTTATTAACATAGAAGATTAATTTTTATTTTTATATAATTTTGTTCTTTATTGTTGTTAAAGCAGCTTTTCTACCTCGTTGTGAATACTTGGGTAGTTCTTCAAATCATGGTGATTTCTAAAACTTGCCTGTTTGTCCACCCATCTGTCATGCATGCATCCATCAATGCACACATATACTTCACATGGATGTTGTTGCCAAGCTTCTTCACTAACATTGTCGTGATCTTAGTGCACTTTAATGTGCATACTACTGCTGAGTTCTATGCTAAATCCTTCACAGCTATCTCTTCTACATGTCACAGTAGGTAGTGGAAGTTTTGTCATTCCCTTATGAGAGCTAGATGCACCATGTCAAAGTTCCATGTTTTAAACTACGGCTTGATTTGGTTTTGATTTGTCAAGCTATTAGACCCATGACTTAAGTTTTTCAAAGTTTTGGGACTTTTAACTATCAATGCTACCATAATATCAAAGCTAGTGTTATCAGACTGCTGAAAATGTGTGTGGTTCTGACAACACAAAATATATATATATCATAGAAAATTATGATATGAAACAATTATAGAGGGCCATTTTGAAAATAACACAGGGTCTCGAAAGCAAACAAATTATATGGCAAATGTGTGTTTTTCCTGGTTGCTATTATATTTTGTATGGCCATTTTGGATTTACACATTTTCACTTAAGTATTTAAAGACAAAATGTAATTTAATTTTCCTCCAACATAACATTATTTTAATTTAAATATGCATGGAAATGTCATTATGATAATGAAAACACAAAATTTGGATCTATGTTATTAAAACAACATATTTTGAAAAACAAAATTATGTCTATATTCATACAAACTAAATATTTATCTTCAGACACAATGTTTACACATTCACAGGTGGCAGGGCAGAACTGTGGTCCTTTGTCCTGCTAATGTTGCTGAGTTGATGGAGCATCTGATAATCAAATAACACACATTTCATGTTATTTCAAATACTCTGGGAACTTGTAATTTATACTGAGGCATTTTTCTTTATTGGAAAACTTAAAGTGTATAAATCTGAATTATTTATATAAAATTCAGCTTCATTCAAGGGAACACAGAGATCTAATATAATATGAATGGGACATAATCCTTTTTAACTCTATTGTTTTCCTTAATTGTATTCTATAACACCTTCATACTCTAACTCACTATGTCTTAAATACATTTTAAAGACATTACTTTATTTATGGTGCAGGAGTACACATAGATGAACATGCATGCCATGGTGTGTGTGTGGAGATCAGAGGTCAACTTAGAAAGTCAGTTATGTTCTACCACTATAGGGATTCTGGTGTTAGGATTCAGGTTGGTAGCCCTGCCAGCAAGCACCTTTACCCATGGAATTAGCTCAATGACCCTTAGCTTAAGTATTATAACTCATCAGAGCTACATACATCCAGAGGAGCCTGGTAACTCCTTTGAGATTTGAGATGACAAAATCTTAGGGACAAACCTTGACATCCTTGCTAAGGGTATGATGTGTTGTCAATCTTCAGGAAGCATCCCGTTTCCATGATACCCTCCAAGATGATGAGTGCTAATCCTGAAGAAGACCCTTTGGACACTTTTCTCCAGTATATTGAGGACATGGGGATGAAGGCATATGACGGTCTGGTTATTCAAAACGCATCCGACATTGCTCGCGAGAATGATCGCTTGAGAAATGAAACAAATCTGGCTTACCTGAAAGAGAAGAATGAGAAACGGCGAAGACAGGAAGAAACAATCAAACGGTAAGTATAAACCACTGCATTCCATGAGAGAGTCTACAGTTCCTGCTAAGATTGTGTTCCTGACACCTGGCCAAGAAGGGGATGGTCAGAGTCTTGGTGGAATACATAGTGAAAGGGACACCTGGACCCTACCAAAAGCTCATCCATCCTTCTGACAGATCCTGGCCTTAGTTAACAACAGTTACTTGCTTGTGTTTTGTGCATATGGAGGTACAGCTGGGCTAGGGAGAGAATTCAATTTTCTCTCCATAAAAGCTTGTGTTGAACAACCTCTTGGTAAAAGCACCAGGGAGCACAGACACACTTTTAGCAGCTAGAGTTTTATGAGAATGACCACCTTTAATGGCCTATGTTTATAGTTCTTACCTTAAAATAGAGTTCATCTTCTTCCTAGAATAAGACCAAGACTAGTCAATAATTAGATATGTATGGGCCTCTGAAGGCACTTAGAATCCTTGGTGTATGCTTCTGAGCAATTTTATGGTGATTACACCTCTTGGTTTGGTACCAAGGGTTCCAAGTTTGTTCAAAAAAATTGTTTTCATGATGTAACACCTACTAGTGACAAGCTGATGAGCCACAGACTGTAGCCTTGCAAATAGAGGTTAAGCACCTGGTGTGTGCACACAAAGGAATGATACACGACTTTTGTTTTTTTACAGAACAATAAAGCAGGTTGTTTCCCTGTAGTCACAAGCTGCTGTGTGGAATCCTGTTTTATTGCTGGAGTTCATTTGCTAAGTTCAAAAATTCAAAAAGTTGATGAAAATTACTTTTTTTCAGTTATCTGCGTGATTGAATAGTGATAGGGCATTTGGATAGTTCATAGAGGATTTCCATCTAATATCTCAGTCACATACTCTCTGGGAAGATTATGATATTAAGGAAATGAAAATATTTTTTCAAGTTCAATTATTTAGGTTGTAAAGAGGCAAGGCCATGTTGCGCGAAACTAGTAATTTAAAGAAACTATTTCACATGTTAGAGAAAGATGGAAGGAGGAAAAGAGGAGGGATAGAGTAAAAGAGCAAGGAAGGAGACAGAGAAAACTGGAAAGATGTTTCAGAAGAGTATTTTGAAGAATATACTGTTTTACTTCTGAATTATTAAAATTTTACCCAGTTTAAAATTGATTTTTTTGCTGTAGTATGCAAAGTACCTTTTTATACTATTTTCCTATGTAGCATTTCTGACACACTTCTGCTTATATACGAGCATTTTACTTTAATTTTGAATGCTGAGTTTTTAAAAATTCAAAGCAAAAAGAATCGGTTACATAATTTCTAGAGAATAATAGCACTACAATTTAGAGTTCTGCAATCTTGCAGTTGCAAATCACCAATTAATTGTTTTATAAGTGAACAAACAGACTGATTTACTGTAACATCCTCTTGGTTCTTCCTAGCACCACCATGTACACATCTATCCCACCAGCTTCCATGTTTTATTAGTCACCTTTAATAGGATTCTGCACAAATATCCAAATACAGTGACAACAGAAGTGGCTGAGTTTCAAGAGCTTTACTGACATGTGTTTAAAGAGGCATGAAGAATAGGGTGGAAATCTGAAGTCTAAGGCACTTGGGAGCAAATATACAGATAGGTGGAGACACATCAAAAGCCTGTCACTCCGTGATGGGTGATGTGTCAGAGATGTGGTTGTGTGAACTTGAGCTCAGTTTGCTGGATTCATCAGACTGCTTTCTCCTCCTGTGTTACAAAGCACACAAGGTAGCTCAGATCACTTACTAAGCTGGAAAGAAAACCTGAAAATGGTCTGCATTGACTTCTACCTTATACATTAGAGTTAAGTCTAGCATAGCTTGAGAATAGAATAAACATCACGTGTGTAAATCTCCTGTTTTGTTCTAATTTATTAGAACTGATGGTGGTTGGAACTAAGATGGCTGTGGTAAAAAGGGGTAAGGTAGCTACACTGTGGAACTTTTGGATTGATGAGACTTAGGCACAGAGTGTGGAGAATGAATGACAAGGAGCTCCTTGTTGGCCTGTTGTTGTTGCTCCCTGTGTGTGTGCCATTATTGCTTGAACTAGCAGGATGTGGTTTCTATTTAAAATGGCAGGCCCTCTGGATAAGTGAGACAGTCGATTAGCTTGAACTGTTTGGGAGGCCCCCAGGCAGTGGGACCAGGACCTGTCCTTGGTGCATGAGCTGGCTTTTTGGAACCTAGGGCCTATGCTGAGACACTTGGCTCAGCCTTGGTGAAGGGAAGAGGGGACTGGACCTGCCTCAACTGAATCTACCAGGCTGAGCTGAATCTCCAGGGGAGACCCTGCCTTGGAGGAGATGGGAATGGGGGGTGGATTCTGGGGAAGGCTGGGGGGTGGGAGGAGGGAGGACAGGGGAATCTGTGGCTGATAGGAAAAATTAAATTAATTATAAAATAAAAATATTTTGAAAAAAAGAAAGAAATGGCAAAAACTGAAAGTGAATTGCATTTAAGGCAAATAGCAGGAAATGGGAGACTGTTTTGGTATGAAAAATGTTGTAAAGCCTTTTAATGGCTCAGGTAGATATTCTGCATGGAGGTTTGGAGAAAAGACCCAGGACTTTGGGTAGAGAACAAAATAAGAGTTCTATATGATAAGAGTGAGAAATATCTTAATCTTCCATAGGTTTTGAAATCGTAAGCTTACAGGACAACAAGGACACCTAGCACTTAAATATTTTTCCCCACATGGAAATGGCTTATTATAATAGAGAGACAAAGAGAAAGATAGGAAAGAGGGAGAGAAGAGAAGGGGGGTCAAGGGTGCACACCTCATGAGAGGAAAAGTGGAAGAGAGAGGACTTAAATTTTAAAATGGTCAAAAACCCAGGAAATATTCCCCAAGGCACCTGAAATCCCACAAGATAAGGACAGTGGAAGAACCCAATACATGCAGTCAGAGGGCCACAAAGGAAGACTGAGTAATGACGGAACCACAACATTGGAGGAGATCCAGCAGGGAAGGAAACAGAGAGACAGACTCATTGAACACGCCCCTTCTTCCTGCTCTGCTAGCAGCTTCATTGTAGCTACAGGCGCAGGGCAGGCCCCAGAAGCTTGGGACAGCTCTCAGTGTACCACAGTATGCCAGGGAAAAGACTAAGGTCCAGCCCTCTCTCACTCCAGATCTGAAAGGGGAAGTCACAAAAGACTTACAGAGGGAAGCAGTCTGAGAACTGCTCACACCCAGCAGAGACCCGATGGTAACGTAACAATGACCAAGTGTGCATCACAGTGAGAATTATGGGGCATCCTCTAGACCCAGAAACAGACAATCACATCCAAAATAACATTAATTCTTGTGCTATAACACTTGAATGTTTTAGAAATTAAAAGATGTGGTTTGTGTCTTGCTGCTTATAACTCAGTTCTTCTTTATTCAACCCTACCCCAAATCTTTTTCTGGAATTCTAATTTAATGTGTAAATATCTTGGAAGTGTAAGAATCCTATGAGAGCCCAAAATTGTTGAAACTTCTCCAAATCACTTTTCTTTTCCAAAAGCTAAGCCCATGGAAAGCAAAATGGCATAGATGTCTTTGAATGTGATTGGGGACTTGCTTAGAGAGGGAAAAAAGTGAACAAAGCCAGACCAGCAATGCCTCTGTTTGAGGAGGAGTCTAAAAGCCTCCTTCACTGCCTTGGGAGTGGACTGGTTATGGCATCTCCTCAAACAGTATAGTCTAGGAATCATTTTAATGTCTGAATTCAGTTTTATTTTGTTCATATAAAGACCAGTATCCCAGGGGTATGGCAATTTTCAAATGATGATAATTTCTCCTCAATGTGTGCTTTTTTAAAAAAAATCATATCACTTCAAAATTCCTAATGAAAAATGTCCATTTTTTTTAGAAAGTCCATCAACTGGGTTCTATTCAAACATGCTTGAGGGAGCCTGGAATATTTCAAAAGACAGAACACCCACATTTAAATCGAACACACATTACAGTTTTTTGTTTTCTTTCTTTTTTTTTTTGCCTCGCAATTAATATCAAGTAGAAAAAAATCAGCAAGTTATTAATAAACATCATCTAATTAATTAAAATTACTTCATCTGTCTGCTGAATGCCTTCAAAATATATTCTGTGATTTAATATATGGGATATAAATGCCAGAAATTCTAAAAGGCAGCACATTTGACCTTGAAAAGGCATTGATGATAATTCTCTGTGAAATGCGCCAGTTGCAATTTCAAAAATGTGCAGACTGCCAAGGCATGCTTAAAACATGGAAATAGGATTTCATGTGCTTGGCTTTCTGGACCACATACTGCTGAAATGCCTTTTGTGCTCAAGCTGGGGAGCTTTAACACAGAGCCCTTAGACAAACAATATCCCTTTCGCTTTTTCTGTGATCTAAGTCACTTAGGTTTTCTAAGCCCAGTTCCTTATTTTTAAACCAGCTTGAACCCTTGTCACTATTAACTTCCTTGTGTCTTCCCCTCTACCCGTCATGTGGGCTTTACTGAAAAGACTTGCTGGTGAAAACGAAATACGAAATAAAGAAAAGGGTGACATTCTTGGTGCTTCTCTTCACAGTTTAAAGTGATGTTTGGTAAGAAAGAGAGAAACACTTAAAGGGGAAAATTAATGGAGAATGAAAACAATTATTGCAATGGTTCATTGTCTCTGCTAGTTTAAATCCCACAGGCTTTGTACAGGCACAAGTAAATGAGATTTACTTCTTTTAAGTAGCCCACAAGAAAAAAAAATGCACAAGTACCTAACAACAAGGTAGTTCATTTAAGATTGGTTAGAATGCACTAGTTGGGCATAAATATGGAGAAAGGTGAGAAATAAACTTGGATGATCAGTGTGTTCAATTGTGGCCAATAAGAAGGAAGGAAGTGATAAATGACAGGTGACCTGTAGGGCAGTATCTGCAGGCACCTCTGAGAACAGGTCCTCTGTTTATAAGTAACCCCTTGTTAGGTCATCAAATAAGGACAGCCACTGAAGAAGATGAATAATCAAAAGACCATCTTACACAC